GGAAACAGGTGGTGGGTATTAGAGAGGGCACGGATTGCATGGAGCACTGGGTGTGGTGCAAAAACAATGAATACTGTTACGCTGAAAAGAAATTAAAAAAAAAAGAAAAAAATAAAAAGAAAGTCCCTAAACTCTTGGTAATTATACTACGCACTTCTAAATAATCTATGGACCAAAAAGGAAATCTCAAAGGAAATTTAAAGAATATATATAAAGCTGAATAAAAATGAAAACATAACATATGGAAATATGTTATATGCAACTAAAGCAGTGCTGAGAGAGAAAATTATAGCACTAAATGCTTCCATTTGAAATTAAGAAAAGTGTCAAGTCAATAATTGAAGTTTCTACATCAAGAAACTGGAAGAAGAGTAAAATAAACTCAAAGCAAAGAGAAGAAAGGAAATAATAAAGAGCTGAAGTCAATGAAATTGAAATAAGAATATTATTAAATGAATAAAAATCTGATTCTTTGAACCAATTCCCCCAAAACAACAAACTACTAAAACTCACTCAATACAAAGTAGATAATCTGAATATCCCAAAACTCTTAAAGAAATTGAATTCATAATTTAAAAAGCTACTGAAAAAGAAATACCCAGGCCTAGATACCTTCACTGGATAAGTCTACCAAACATTTAAAAAATGATTAACAACAATTTTACACAGACTTTTCCAAAACGTAGAAGAGGGAACATTTTCAACTCATTTTATGAGGCCAGTATTACCCTGATACTAAAACCAGACAGATGGTACAGAAATAGAAAACTATAGACCAAATTTTTTCATGAACTTTGACTCAATAACTCATGAGAAAACACTAGGAAATTGAATCCTACTCTGTTTGAAAATAATTTTACACCATGACCAAGTGGGATTTATTCTGAATATGTAAGGCTGGCTCAACACTCAGAGTTATTTGGTGTAATATATCCTATCAACTGGCTAAAGAAAAAAAAAAAAAACAAATGATTATTTCAATTGATACAAAAAGAGCATCTGACAAAATTCAATACTCGTTCATGATAAAGATGCTCAGCAAGTTAAGCAATAAAAGGTGTGTTCATTTGAAGAGCTGTCACAAATTGCCAGAAACTGGGTGGCATGAAACAAGAGAAATTTATTCTCTCACAGTTCTGGAGGCCAAAAGTCTGAAAGTAAAGCTTTGGCAATATTGTTTCTCTCTGTGCCATGTCTTTCTTCTACTTGGCTTCTAGAAATTCTTGGTGTTCCTTCATGTGTATATACAATGCTCCAGTGTTTGAATTTATCCTCATATGGACTTTCTCTTTGTGTATCTGTGTCAAATCTCCCTCTCCTTTTTCTTAGGGGGACAACAATCATTGGATTTAAAGCCCACCCCAAATCCAGAATCATCTCATCTCAAGATCCTTAACTTAATTACATTGCAAAGACCCTATTTCCAAATAAGGTCACATTCACAGATATCAGGAATTAGAACTTATACATATATTTTGGTGGTACACAATTCAACCCATGACAGAGGAGAATTACCTCAACTTGATTAAAAAACGTCTGCAAATAACCAACAGCTAACATGTTTTGTATTATGTTATGTACATGTTGCACATGTAAAGTACTGGAAGTTATAGTCACTGCAATAAGATAGTAAAAAGCATATGGATTGGAAAGGAAGAAAAAAAAACCTCTCTCTCTCCAAGAAGAGACTGGAATCTAGATTACACAGGGAACTCTCAAAATTCACCAGTTGAAAATTAAATAATCCAATTAGAAAATGGGCTAAAAATATGAACAGACCTTTCACTGAGGAAGATATACAAATGGAAAATTAGCATATAAGAAGTTGTTTAGCATCATTAAATTGCATCAGGGAAAGGTAAATTAAAATCACAATGATATATTACTACCCTCTTATTATAATGGTTGAAGTAAAGAATAGTGACAACACTAGAGACTGGGGAGGATGTGGAGAGACTGGACTGCTCATATGTTATTGGTGAGAATGTTTATTAGTATAGCCACTCTGGAAAAGTATGTGGCTGGTTTTCAGTATGCTTGTGTGTGTGTGTGTGTGTTTAAGTAGGTCTTATGCCCAGTGTAGAGCCCACAATGGGGCTTGAAACCCCAAGATCAAGACCTGAGCTGAGATCGAGTCAGACACTCAACTGACTGAGCTACCCAGGAACCCCTGTTTTTGTATTTAATAAACCTAAACCTGTCGCTACCATCGGACCCATCAATTGCACTCTTATGAATTTATCCCAATGAAATAGAAATTTATGTTCCCACAAAAATCTGTACATTGGACTTTTATTCAACAGTCCAAACCTGGAAACAACCTAAATGTTCCTAAATAGGCGAATTGTTAAACAGATTGAGTACTCCTAAGCAACAAATGGCAGTGAGTTACTGATGCAACTTGGGTAGAGTCTTAGGTAATTATGATAAGTGAAAGAAGCCCATCCCAAAAGGTTACAAGATGACAGAATTTTATAAATGAAAGATAGATTAGTGGCTGCCAATGCTTAGAATCAGGGATGGGGTGCAGGAGAGAGGTGAGTGTGATTATAAAAAGCCAACATTAGGGATCTTTGTGGTGATGGAACGGTTCAGTATCTTGATTGTGATGGTAGATACACAAACTTACACATGTGATAAAAGTGTACAAACTAAATGCACACACACACACACTTGAGTACCAGTAGAACTGGAGAAATACAAATAAGATCAGGATCAATGTCAGTGTCCTATCTGTGATATTACAGTATAGTTTTATAAAATGTTACCATTGTGGGGGCTGGGTAAAGTGTACATGGAATATCTGTGCTGTTTCTTAGAACTGCATGTGATTCTACTGTTATCTCAATAAAATTTTCAATGAAAAATTGAAAGGACCTGAGGATTCCCAAGGAATTTTTACTATCACTTATTTCTATCTATATTTATTGAATTAGAAATTAAAACTAAAAATTATTTAAACAAAAATACATAAGCACATATTTCATTAGCTGCAAAAGCAATGACGTCACCATCATCAGTAGCTAGTGGAATACCCCACTGTACACTCATGAAAGGATGAGAGTGAAAAAGAAAAATAACTTTTTGATATCATTATTAATATCATTTTGATCTTAAAGTTTCTCAAAATGGTCATAGGGATAAGGTGACCAACTCATCCTGGGTTTCCTGAGATTTTCCTGGTTTAAGCACTGGACATCCTAACAAAAGCAGTATGGTTTGCTGAAACCCTGTTTTAAAACTGAAAGTTCCTCCAAAGAAAACATACAAATGGCCAACAGACACACAAAAAAATGCTCAACGTCACTCATCATCAGGGAAATACAAATCAAAACCACAATGAGATACCACCTTGCACCTGTCAGAATGGCTAAAGTAACAAGTCAGGAAACAATAGATGTTGGTGAGGATGCAGAGAGAGGGGAACCCCCCTACACTTTTGGTGGGAAGGCAAACTGGTGCAGCAACTCTGGAAAACAGTATGGAGGAAAGTTAAAAATAGAGCTACCCTATGACCCAGCCACTGCACTACTAGATATTTATCCAAAGGATACAAAAGTACTGATTCGAAGGGGCACATGCACCCCAATATTTATAGCAGCAATGTCCACAATAGCCAAAATATGGAAAGACTCCAAATGTCCATCAATTGATAAGTGGATAAAGAAGAGTATATATATATATATATATATATATATATAGAGAGAGAGAGAGAGAGAGAGAGAGAGCAGGCACGGGGGTTGAGGTATATATAAATAAATATATTATATATATAAATATATATATAATATTACTCAGCCCCCCCCCCCAAAAAAAGAGAGAATGCAATCTTGCCATTTGCAGCAATGTGAATGGAACTAGAGGGTATTATGTTAATCCGTCAGTCAGAGAAAGAAAAATACCATATAATTTCAATCTTATGTGGAATTTAAGAAACAAAGCAGATGATGGGGCACCTGGGTGGCTCAGTGGGTTAAAGCCTCTGCCTTCGGCTCAGGTCGTGGTCCCGGGGTCCTGGGATTGAGCCCCACATCAGGCTCTCTGCTCGACGGGGAGCCTGCTTCCTCCTCTCTCTCTGCCTATCTCCTCTGCCTACTTGTAATCTCTGTCTGTCAAATAAATAAATAAAAATCTTAAATAAAAAAGAAACAAAGCAGATGAACATAGAGGAAGGGAAGGAAAATAAAATACGATAAAAACAGAGAGGAAGGCAAACCATAAAAGACTCTTAATGATAGAGAACAAAGTGAGGGTTGCTGGAGGGGAGGTGGGTGGCGGGATGGGTTGAACGGGTGATGGGTATTAAAGAGGGCACTTGCTGGGATGAGCTCTGGGTATTACACGTTAGTGATGAGTCACTAAATTCTACTCCTGAAACCAATACTACTCAATATGTTAACTAACTTGAATTTAAATAAAAACTTGGAAGAAAAAAACCTGTAAGTTCCACATCCAAGAAATCTGTTAGTCCTGGACAAACTGGATTAATTGTTCACCATATTCATGGACCTTTTTTGGTCCCTGGACAATATTTTAAGAACATCTGTTTAAGACAATCCTCATACAGAAGAATTCCCAGTTTGGTGTTATTGCCTGCCTCACCATCACATAGGATCTGAGTTTCATTACATCATAATTTGTTAGAAACTCTGCTATCTCCATGCCAGTTGCTTGCTCAGCTTTCCTGCATAGTTTATTCTCCTCCTCCTCCTCACCCTGGATTCCTTCAATAAGATGTCAATGAAAGTGCTTTGTAATGAAAAAGTGTCATCAGAATGTGAAAGTGTATCATTTTCTTTTTGATGATTATTTTTTCAGGTCAAGTTAGTATGGTGCAGGTAACCATCCCAAACAGTGTTGTGAATGTGACTGTTGGATCTGATGTCACACTTGTCTGCACCTACACCAGCACTGTGGCCTCCCGGGACAAGCTCTCCATCCTGTGGTCATTCTTTCACAAGAAGGACTTGCCACCAGCTTCTGTAAGGACTTTTTACCTCAACTATTCCCCTATGGTAGTTCAAACATAAACTGTTGGGATCAGTGTGTGAAGGAGTGGTAAGCCAATGATAACAGTGGCAGAGTCTCAGTTACAAAGAGTATGAAGATAGTTGTTTAGGGAAGACCATCATGTATGTGACATGGCCTTTGTCCTTTCTTCATATGCAGTTATGGACTGTTATCTCCTATCTGAGTAGGTCACCATCTAGAGTATTGTGTGTTCTAGAGTAGACAGGAATGGTCCTAGGTGAAATGAGCTGTAGTTCTGAAAGGGCTCCTCCTCTTTCCAAATAATCTCCCTATTATTTGCAGAAGACCCCAGTTCAAATACATGTCCTACTTGATCTGCAAATCTTTGTCAAATATAGTATCTGGGATCTGCCCACCAAGTGAGCTAGCTCATTATGCCAGATGAGTCCTGATGAAATGAGACTCCCAGATGGGTGGAGAAGGGCCGAGGTAATGATGAACCCTGGGTAATCAAGGAAAATAAGAAGCTAGAGGGCAGAGGATAGGGCAAGTAGGGTGAGGTTAGGAGTAAGGTGTTGCTAGAAAGTCAAAGGAGAATGTTCAACCTGTAAGCTTGTCTAGTCTCAGGTTTTCTTCATCTGGCCTTAAGGGTAATTCCTTTTTAAATTAGCCCAAGGACTGAAATTGTGTACTCCAAGTGTGTGTGTGTGTGTGTGTGTGTGTGCGTGCGTGCGCGTGCACGTGCACACGCGTGTGTGTGTGTGAGAGAGAGACAGAGACAGAGAGAGAGAATTCATGCAAGGGTCTGCAGGAGCGTGCAACATGTCGGCCAACACATATCCCTTAAAGGAAAAAGTCTATAGCTTTTATCAGATTTCCAAAAGGATGTATGATCCAAAACAAGTTCAGAGAAGAAACAAATCAGTATGGTTTGGAATAATTGGATATAGCTGAATTGGGGTTTTGATTAGTAGAAAATGGAAGGCGTGTTGAGTCGGCTAGAGGAGGTTGAAGGACAGAGGTAGAGAAGACGGGCTAGCTTGTAGGAGCCATGCCTTGGCCAGTGTGGCTTCAACCATCTCTGGGCCCTTGGAGGTGCTAGGTCCTCTCTTTACCAGAGGTCCTGAACATTTCTGTAGCAGAAAACACCATTCAAGAGGTGATTTCATTACTGCCACCCTCTAGTCAATGTTCAACATTTTTGCTCAGCACTGGTTACTTCAGATATGCATCTGAAATCACTCTGTGCCTCTCCTCAAAACATGGTGGAATGCTAACCCTCTTCTAGATATCTCATTGGGAATCAGCTGACATGTTGCAGGTGAAAATGCTTGGGAAAAATAGAAAGACTGTACATTTTCTCCCTTGTAATCCCCTTTATGATCTTCAGTAGTAGAAATAACAGTGATTGTACCTCTTTTTGTCACCCAGATGTCCTTACCCAAGACCCCACATATTGCAACCAACCAAGCAATCATCCTTTGCAGGTTGCTCTCTTAGACCATGGATGGCAATAATCACATGAACTTTTTCCTTTTTAAAGTTCAGTTTCCTGAATAGTCTTTTCTTTATCTGTAGGCTTGAAGCCCTTCCCATTTTGCCAGAAGGGGCTGAAATTAGTGAGGCCTTGCCCATATATTTTGAATTATTTTTATGCGTGGTACTCAAATCCAAATGTCCTCAACTGCCTGGAAGTGAGGCCAGGCCAGTGTGAGTTCAAAAATACAAATGGTTCTTTACGCCATCTCTGACACTGGAATTTACAAGGCCATTTCTTGGTTGAACCATGGAGTTAAGAGTTGGGAGATGCGGGGCAGAGGGATCTTGTGACCAGCAATGAGTTTTTTCTAGACCTGGAGATGCACAGAAGGTGTAGGTGATTGCGCAGTATGTGCTTAGGACATCTGTTAGAGGCATTTTGGAAAGAAACTTTATTAACAATATGTATTTATTTTTTAAAGATTTTATTTATTTGACAGAGAGAGAGAGACAGTGAGAGAGGGAATAAAGCAGGGGGAGAGAGAGAGGGAGAAGCCTACTTCCTGTTGAGCAGGGAACCCAAGGTGGGGCTCGATTCCAGGACCCTGAGATCATGACCTGAGCCAAAGCCAGACGCTTAACGACTGAGCTACCCAGGCACCCCAACGAGTATGCATTTACTGAGTAAATATTTACTTGTCATTTGCCTAAGTCTTCAAAATGTCAGGTATAGGGAAGGCAAGTAATTTAAGGTATCTAGGCTTTTGGGATGACCAAATCAAAGGAGCTCCTCTACACTGAGTCACTGGTTCAGTGAGAATGAGGTTTTTGATCTTAAAATATTTTAGAAGTTTCCCCAATGCACGAGACCTGTTGTTATGCTCCTGCTTTAGCCACATAGGAGACAGGTTGGGGGAGGGTGGTTTAGCTCTTGGCTTAGAGACAGTGAAAACCACCTCCCCAAAGTCAAGCTTTCTCTTCTTTCTCTCTTTGCATCTTGTTTCAGCTTGCTCCAGCAAAGTCCCCAATTCAACCATCCTTAGGTCTCTACCTCCAGAGAACTGGGGGCTCTCACATTTTCCCCCATACCCTACAGGCATGTGCCTCTCTCTGCTTTTCCAGATGGGTAGTTTTGGAGCACCAGTGGAAAATTCCCGATGGATGTTGGCTCTACTCCTTGCTCTGCTACTTGTTTGCTGACGGGATGACCTTAGACAAGTCAGTTGACCTTTCAGAGGGTCTGTTTTCCCTTCTGTGTAATGGGGCTTACCTACCTCATAGGTTTACTGTGAAGATTAAATGAGATTATGCTTGTAAAGCACTGGGAAGCCTTCCACGTAGTAGCCATTCAATGAACGTGAGCTATTACAAGTAGTAGTATCATTACTTACCAAATAGTGATTTTGAAAATCCCTATCCTATCCATACATCATGGGCGCTAGGGATCCAGCCCAACAAAGACTTTTAGTACAGCTGAACAGCTGGGACAGAGCTCTTGGGGGAATCCTGGCCCAGGATTAGTTTCCTGCTTCACTGCCTGCCAGGTTCCTCTGGCTGAAGGGAGGGGTTAGCCTTTTTTGGCTGGTCCTCTCCCTGAACAGAAAATTTGCTCAACAAAGAAGTTGTAGGTATCTTCAGTTGAGATGGTATTTTTCAAAATGGGATTCGGCCTCTATTTCGAATTTGTTTCTTCTTTGGGTACTTCCATGCATTCAGAATTCTGTAGAGCATGTTGTATGCTAATCTAGGGATGGCTGGTGAACATTTTGGGGATGGTAAAAAGAGACTGCTATGCTATTAGACAATTCTCTGATTTACGGGCATATGATATTGCCAGACTGATCATTGAGTGATTCAATTCAACTCCTGGGTTGATGTGGCAGTATATCATGTAGCATTCAGCTCTCAGACCCACCCATTTCTGCTCAAACACAGCACAGCCCGTGCCTCAATACTGAGGGTATGGAGGAAAAGGCAGTCAGTCAGTGTCTAAATATGGCGCATGCAAGAGACGCTCGGGGAAGATGTAGCTGGACCTCTCAGGTAAGAACACCAATTGGTGTACTGCTGGACCCCTTTATTGTTTGGAATATCTAGGGCAATGGCACCAGCCTTTAGGAGTGGGGTGGAATGGTCCAAGTTTGGTAACAGTCCAGATCAGCAAAACTGGGACAGTCTTGAGTTTGCCTTCTCACACCATGTCTAGAATTGTTTTCAGCCTCCCCCGAAGGGCTCAGGGACTTATTGCTGCCTCAAGTAGGGCAGGGCCCAGCTCTTGTCATACTCTCATATTCTCATATTCTTCTCCTATCCCCACGTCATTATGTTAAAGGAACAGTTGACTCCAAGGCATAGTGTTTCTCCATACCTAAGGGAGGGTGTTATCCCTTACTGACTATCCCCTCCAAGGGGTTCCTTTGCTGAATGGGGACTGCAGAAATACCTCATAAGTCTTTTGACCTGGAAGACCAGGATATTTATTAACATGGTCCTCCTCTTAGAGAAGCCCTCCTCTCAGAAGACAGGGACAGCTTCAGATGATCAGTCCCTCAGCAGAGACTCTCAGCTGAAGACTCTAGGCCCCAGAACATGCAGGTTAGCACGGAAGTTTTGGGTGGTTTTGTGCCCCTCCGATCACACCAATTTTCTCCTCTTCCACCCAGCCAGTAACTGGTAGAACTAAAGCGACCTCACCTGCCCATGAACAGAACAGGCATTGATCCTACTTAGCATGGGTCTCGCAGACAATATTTACTCTTCTAGAACATCTGTAGTGGATGAAACCCATTGTCATTTTCATCTCCCCAGCATACATTTAATGTGGACAACTTCCTTCCAGAGCCCAGTGTCTTCGTATTCTCTGGCCATTCAGATTCTCCCCCACCTGGCCTGTCCTCCTCAGAGTATTATTATCAAATGCTTTCCAAATATTGGCAGGACAGGGGTGTACCATCTCCTCACATGCATTTGAAAATGAGGGGGGTGTTGCTGTGATTATTATAAATGGGAGTCACTGCTGGCAGTTAGTGGGTGGTGGCTAGAGATGCTAGATGTCTTACAATACATAGACTAAACCCAGGAGAAAGAACTGTCTGTCCCAAATACCAGTGTCACTCCCATTGAGAAACACTCCAAGTTCTTCCCTTCCCACCACCCCCTCCCATCAAAGCTTTTTTTAAAGATTTTATTTATTTATTTGACAGAGATAGACACAGTGAGAGAGGGAACACAAGCAGTGGGAGTGGGAGAGGGAGAAGCAGGCTTCCCGCTGAGCAGGAAGCCCGATACAGGGCTCCATCCCAGGACCCTGGGATCATGACCAGAGCCAAAGGCAGATGCTTAACAACTGAGCCACCCAGGTGCCCCCTTCCAATCAAAGTTTATCTACTCTGTATCCCTTGGCCTCAGGTGTATATTCTTGCTAAACCTGATAAATCAATCTAATGAGGAGGGGCTAGGGAGTGGTGATGATAGTTTATCTCTCCCCCCCCCCAAAAATCCTTTTAAGTGTAGACTTGTGCCATATCGTCACCCAAAAGAAGCAGTTCAAGTGGTGGGGGGGCTCTCAGGCAAATGGCAGGCAGGAAAGGTAGTGGTTTGAAGACAGGGATGTCTTCCTTTTGGTGTTCATTCCCTTCCACGTGCAGTCTCAGACCCCCTCCTCCCCGCTCCCCCCTCCCTGCCCACTGAGGAAAATCCAGAAAAAATTCTGGTCTTGAGACCATTGCCACTCCCCACTCCTCCTCTCACACGGCTAGCCCCTCTATGAGGAGTGCAGGAAATCGAGAAGCTGAAGGGAAAGAATGGGTGCTTTGCTGTGGATTTCCACACCCTCCACATTCCCAAAAGGAACCCACAAAAGCAGCTCGGAAGGCTAAATATGTTTATTAATTCCACCTCAGACTCAAACAGAAAGCAGACTGAATTCTTTCAGCCCTTCTTGTTTATAATCCAGCCTCTGGTTAGAGATCAGTGTCACAAACCTGAGAGGGGAAAAGACCTTTTTGGAAAAATCTGGCTCCCAGCTGCATGGCCTCATGTGAATAGGAACTTGGCACCGTGGGAGGGGAAAGACTCTTGTTGCAGCTGGCAAACATCGAAGGCATCAGGTGGCAGGCCCACTCGGCATGGGCAGTGTCATGCCAATGAATAGTAGCAATTGGCTAGAAGAGAGTTGGAAGGGCCCTAACGGAAAAATTTCCTAGGAATCATCTCTCCCCTCCAAAGGCAGGACTAGAAGTGCAATTTTCATATATTTGGGGGAGAATCAGAAGGTCTGGTTTCCAGGTCTGATTATAAATTACGTGGCTTTGGACAAATCACTTCCTCTATTGGGGCCTCAGTGTCCTTTTCAGTTATCGAAGAGGATGAATCGGAGGTTGCAAACTGGTGGCCTCTGGGCCCGATTTGACCAGTGGATTCATGTTGGCTGACCAGCCCAGTACTTTGTTTGTTTCCACAGTTTGGAAGCCTTGTTTGTATTGGCTTTGCTGTTCACCATGGTCCCCACTGTCCTCTGTGATCCTCCCACCACCCACCAGCACCTCCAAGCTATTTCCCATATTTCTAATATCCATCTGGCTCCTAAAGGGTCATCAACCTTAGAAGCCATGAATGAAGTGATCTCAAAGGGGGTCTTATAACTGATGTGTCATTACGACTGTACATATCAGCCTCTAACATCATGGGGGAGCAGAAGGAGCCTGGGGGTGGGGGAAAGTAAGGCAGCCACAAAGGACAAGTGGGCAACAAATTAACAAGTACCAATTAAGGGAACACTTGGATGGATTTTTCTTTAAGCAGATTCGCCACCCCCCCCCCCCCCCCGCTCAAAAGGATGTGTGGCCCATCGAACATCCATGGCTTTTCCTTCACCTCATTTGCTTTGATCTCTAAATTGACAATATACTTTCTTTGAAAAGGTACAAGCCCCACGGGATCATGGGCTGAGTCCTGGCCATTGTTCCGCTTTGATTTTTCAAAGAGTTATTCTTTTGTGGAAAATGGCACCATGTTTCAGTACTTCCTGTGTGATTAGATAAGCAGTTTCAGGAAAACATTTCTTTCTTTTTTTCTTTACAAGGACAGTGTGACAGCTTGGACTTCCCCTAACAGAAAGTCCCTCCATCTGTGAGTCTGGCCACCGGTTAGCCGTGGGGACTTTCCTTCTCAGGCCAAGGCCCTCCCCTTTAAGGTGTCCATTGTTACCCCTCCTTAGCTCCCTGACACCCTTCAGTATTATTTGTGAGAGGGTGGGATATAGGGGGGGATGGTATTAGGAGCAAGGGTAGAAGGGATGGGGAGGGTCCTTTTTAGAGGGAAGTTACAAGTCCAGGGCCTCATAACTTATCTGCTCATTTCACCTGGATTCATGACCAAAGGTGAGACTTTCACGGTGGCTTCTTTGCATGTTCTAGTCCTGGCCTAAAACACATGCTCTCTTGGCTCTCTGCTCTGGGCAGAAACAAGGTCTTTTCTCCCAGACCCTCCGACATTCACTGTAGGCCGTAGGCAGGACTGATGTTGTATCTCATTGTGATGTCGCCAAGACTCAGCATAAAACAGGCTGACTTACCCCTAGTCTTCCTGAGAGCAGGGGAAGCGGCCAGATGTCCAAATATAAGCCTAAAAAAAGGTTTCCAGGATGGCCTGCAGGCTGTGTTCCAGGTATGAGTCCACAGGACCTCAGATTGTTGATTAGCAAGTAAATAAGCCCAACACTGGCTAGTGAAATGGAAAGCCTGAGAGCTTGGGTGTCAACTCAGATGAAGGCAATAGACCTCTGATGAGCTGAATCTCCTCCTGGACCCTTTGAATACCTTCAGTTAAAGTTGGCTTTCCAGTTTTTAAGTCCCAACAGGACCCCTTTGGGGCAAACACTGGTGATTTCAGTAGGTGTGAATGGACAAATTGAATTATAAATGACTCATTTGAGGCAGGAATGAAAGCTAGTTGATGTTAGACAACTGGAGAAGAGAGACAAATATTTTTCTCCTTAAATATGGTCTTTGAATTTTCCCTCAGAATCAACCTCTCTGATTTAGTTTAAAACTATATTGGCTTTCTATTTGAAGGGGGAATATATCTGAATTTTTCTTGACCATCTCTTTTGATTTGCTGATTGCCTTTTCTCTCTCATTATCCAATTAAGGTAAAGAGCACCGAACAAGGAGTTAGAAGAACCAGGTTCTAGACCTTTCCTCACTGTTAACTCTGTGTGTGTGTGTGTGTGTGTGTGTGTGTGTGTGTGTGTGTGTGTGTTTTACCTCTCTGAGCTTCAGTTTCCTCTAGAAAGTGAGGAGAGTGAATTAAATGAATAAGGCCCTCTTAGTAGATTTTATGAAAACAATTAGTTCCACTGAACGAAGGTGATACCTTTTTATTAATAAGCCATCACTTGAATGACACACATTATATGAAACTGACAGTGTTTGGGATATGTGTGTCTGATGAAGAAACCTCAGGGATCACCTAGTCCAGTGATTTCCAAGCTTCAGTCCTTTATGTCTTATCTTTATGATTTTTGTCATAATTGTGCATACCAGCAGTATTATTTAATGTCACTTTCTATAGTGATTTGGTTTCTTAAAATTTTTAAAATATCTACCTTTGTGTCACCCTAAGCTATAATACCCATGAAGTCACAGATGTGATATGCGAGATATGTGTCTTTCTAATAAGTTTTCATTTATGTGCCACCTAAAATCAGCTTATGTGCTTATACCTGGGGAATACATCTCATAATTTGGAGGGCATTCCTTGGACTCCTTGTTCAGATGTGGAAACGAAAGGCTGGAGAGATTAAATCATGTTGTTTCTCATCATAAAGCATGTCGCCATGGAGGCATGACCAGAGGCTACCTTCCCTATGTCACAGTCAGACACAGAGCTGGGGCTAAACCCTAGGTCAACTGACTCCTAGACCAGGCCTCTTTCCACCTCACCGTGCAGCTTCCAGGGTTGCCATTATGATCTAACTATTCATGATCTTTACCAGAGATGGAACTAGAACCCAGATCTTCCTCGAGTGTGGTAAATCGTTGTAGTAATAAATGAAGCCTGTGACTTTGGATGAGGCATTTAATATTTCTGGATTTGAGGGCCCTTATCCGTCTAAATGAAATAATAATTCCAGTTCTGCCTCCTGCCACATGGGGAGAAAGGGAGGAGCTGCCATTGACGAAGCACTTCCTAGGTCACTGTGAAGGGATGGGACCAGATGATTTCCTGGGGGCCCCTCTGCTCTGAAATGGTACTCTTCTAACAAACAGGATAAACCCGAGTTTGCTTATCCAGAGGAGTAGGTATGTATGAAAGTTGTACGAATATTCTAACTCTTAGGGAAACGTGAGAGTCCTCTAGTCCCGCTGAGTAAAGTAAAATCAAATAATAAGGAAAAAATTATAAAGTGGGGGGAAAATGATGGTTTTTGCTTTCCCATCAGGCATTTGTGTTCTATACAGTGAGTTTCCTCCAGGTAGGCTCCTCAGGTAAGCACCTTGATCTAGCCTAAGCTTAGCAGTTGAAACCTGTCAGCTCCAGCTGTTGATCATCTGTAAGATTGGCACACATCCCTGCTGCGATGACATCACAGAAGGGCTGTGCACACACCTGAGGAGGCAGTTGTGCACAGCCCTGAGAAAACTACAAGCGCCCCGTTGAGTTGAGACCACCGTTTGCCATGGGATCTGTACTGTGTGGGAGAGGGTGGGTGGGAATGTTGCCTCTTGCCAGCAAAGGTCAAGGTCAGATGGAGGGTGCTTCCGGATAGCTTATCTTAGCGCTAGACACTCTGCAGTTCTCACTTCTGCCATTTTTCTGTCCTAGATTTACTATTCTGAAGGTGGACAAGCCGTAGCCATCGGGCAATTTAAAGATCGACTTGTAGGGTCCAACGATCCAGATAACGCCTCTATCACCATTTCACATATGCAGCCAGCAGATAGTGGTGTCTACGTCTGCGATGTTAACAACCCCCCTGACTTCACCGGAAATAATCAAGGCATCCTCCAAGTCAATGTGTTAGGTATGGGCAATTTTTTCTGTTTTTTTTTTTTTCCCTCTTCTTGGAACAACTTAGGACCTTGAGTGAGCCAGGGAAGTAAGCAATGGTGCTAGCTAAGTCCCAGGGATAAATATGCTCCCTGCTTCTTTTCTTGTTGGGGAAATAGAGACACACCACCAACCCAACCCTTAGAGTAAAACCAAGAAATCACTCACAAAACATATTGAAATAATTGCCCAATGATAGATAGCAGAAGATGACCTGACCTCCGGGGATCTGGGTCTCTGAAGGGTGGAATGAAGACAGATGGGAAGACACACTTGTTCCCACTAAATGATCACTAGCAACTCCTTTGGAGGGAACTTCGGATTAGAGCCAGTCCTGGGGGAGCTAACTGTCCATTTATGAACTCTCCTAAGCCATCCCGCTATTCCCACCATGAAATCATTCTTTTGAGTAAAGGCAGGAGGGTCCCTTTTAAAAATGTTAGCATTATCTGGAAAAAGGACCACAGGTTAAGCCAGAATTGAGAATTTATTTATACACAGATATTCATGATGTGACATTTGGCAAGTACTATCTGCTTTTCAAATGCACTTGGAGGGATTCATTTTTACAGCATTTACTGAGTGCTTCCTGTTTTGTGCCAGGAGCCATGAAGTTTAAAATGCTGGAGGCATGGTTTCAGCTCGTGGAGAGGTCACAGTTTTTGATGATGTCTAGCACTCCTTCCGATCTCAGAGAGGACAGTGGGTGTTTTGCTCCTGTCTGGAGGCCTACCAAGGTCTTGTCTGCAGGGCTGCAGAAGTACTGAAGGGAGAAAGAAAAGGGCTGTCAACCTTCAATGATTAACTTGTTGAGCTAAGGGCTCTCCCATTTCTAAGTAATCCCAAATGGTGCCGATCTAGTCATTGTTCCTTTCAAGCTGTGTATATCTATCACAGGAAAGGAGGAACTAGATCAAACCAGTGACTTGATAACTGACTGGCTTGGAAAAGCAGCAGTTGGTAAAAGGTGCACACCTAGGAGAACCATCCAGAGTTGTCTGAGCTTGCCTCCCAGGTGATGCCCCAGATGAGGTGTGCTACTGCATCTGCCCACCTGGAAAGGAGGGAAAGGTCATCAGGAGCTGAGTTTTAAGAGTGGGGTAGCTCAATCGTGCCTTTATTTTGCTGAGCCCCATGCTAGGCATTGGGGTACAGGGGGAAGACAAGAGAATTACACACAAGCCTCTTCCTGGGAGAGTTGATATTCCGGTTTGGAAGACTGGTCATTTACCTGGGAACTAAACAGTGCAGCACAGATGCTAGGAGTCCAAAGCCTTAGGTTCTAGTTCATACTTGGCTACTCAGTGGCCTTGGGCACATCAGTCCACATTTCTCTGGCCATTTTGAAATAGAGCTGTAATTCCTGCCCTGTCTTCACAGGTTTATTATGAGTCAAATGATAGATTAGAGATTCCACATTCGAAGCATTTAGGGATTCGTCCTCTCATGGTTTCCTGCTGCGCCCTAGCTCTGGGTTGTCCTTCTGACCAGAAACAACCTAAGGAAGCCAAGCCTCTTTATCTCTGAGCTTGCAAAAAGCTCTGAGATAAAGTTAGACAGGAAGGTTAATATCCCTTTTTTAAAAAAGATTTTATTTATTTATTTGACAGAGAGAGACACCATGAGAGAGGGAACACAAGCCGGGGGAGTGGGAGAGGGTGAAGCAGGCTTCCTGTGGAACAGGGACCCCATGCGGGACCTGAGCTGAAGGCAGACACTTAACAACTGAGCCACCCAGTCACCCCAGGAAGGTTAATATTCTTAAATTTAAAGCTCGGAGAATCCTTAGTCAAAGAAGTTGAGAGTCATTTTCTCTTTGAGTTGTTTTCCCATGAATCTTTGGGTCAGTTGTTCCCGCAATGACTGTGTCATGACTTTTCCTTAAGCATCCAGCATCCAGGCAAGGTAAAAGGTAGAAGAGTCTGTGGATTATCTTGTTTGGGAACTCTCAAGAATTCTATTTTTATTGATTGGGGTAAGAACCAAGGTCTTGTACAAATACATGCTTTCTGGAAATCTTGAGACGGATAATTTTCTCTAAAAATTGCAGAGGTTGTTTACCTTTCTGAAGTTCCATGGCCTTTGAGTGCCTGTCCTGCTTGCCCTGACTGAGGGGTGGGGCATGGATGGGACAGGGGGGTCAGGGAGCCAGCTGTGGGGAGAGGTGTTGATACTTCCTTTGCAACCACACTTCCCAGCAATGCATTTCCCAGAGACATTCCCTGACGCAGTGATGGGCGTAGGTCCCGTGCATTCACTCCTCCATGCATAAATTCATTTCAGCAACTCCTGAACACATGTCTCATTACTGTGCTATGCAGTGGAGATGGAAAGATGTAAAAGATAGGGCTTCAGCCCTCTAAAAGTTTTGAGAAGAGGGGGCAGGGCATGACTTAGGTAAAGGAAACAACAATGAGCAGAGGCCCAGGTGGCTTGGATGACCATTCATTTGAGTGGCTTCCATTAGGTATGATAGCCTCGGAAAATGTGTCTCTGAAAAAAAATATCCAGGTTGACGTTTGAGTAATTATTTTATATGCATTTGGAATGACCATCATATTCCTTCCGTGATTTGGCACCTAAAAAGAAAATGATGAATTTAGGGAAGGCTTGGGGATGCAATGAAGCATTTTCATTGATTTTCTGAGGTGAGCCTCTCCCTCCCACCCTCATTTTGCTGAAAGCAATAATGCTAAATGGTAGATCAATGGCTTTGCCAGTAAAACATCCAAATTCTACCGGGGACGTTAGCTGGATGAAATGTCAATTCAATCCTGATTCAGTAGTTTTAGAAAATATATAGGTTTGGGATATGGCTCAAAGTGATTCACTAAGTGTTTTGTTAATAAAAAATAAAGGGAGGAAATTATGTTCAGGAAAAAAAAAAGCCTATCTGGCGTTGATTCTGGGCTCCAGAAACACCCTCATTTAATTTTCTGTTCAAAATTGTGTAAAGGCCATTGAGTCATCATGGTTTTAAACAGGCATTCTCTAAATCTAGTGACGGTTGCAATGGACTTCCGGTTAAACAGGCTAGCTTCAGGGAAGCAAATCAAATGAGATGTTCCCATCTGAGAAAATCAACGGTAAGGAAAAAAGAATAAAGAACTAAATAGAAAAATACTGATTTTTAAAAGATTTTATTTATTTGTCAGACAGAGAGAGAGCATGCAAGCAGTGGGGAGGGGCCGAAGAAGGAGAAGGAGAAGCAGGCCCCCCCGCTGAGCAGGGAGCCCAATGTGGGGCTTGATCCCAGGACCCAAGGATCATGACCTGAGCTGAAGCAGATGCCTAACCGACTGAGCCACCCAGGTGCCCCCAAAAATACTTATTTAAATTTAAAACCACCTGTTTAAAAGATAGGGATGGAGAAGCATTCCAAAGACTTCCAGCCATCTCTGTCTTCTTGCTCCTGGGTCCAGCCGGTTAGAGTCTGAGACTGGAAGATGGACTTCAGTAGAAAACTATAAAATGTGGCGATAGAAATTAGTTCTGCCCGTGGCCAACAGCAGTTCCATATGCAAGGTGCTGTAGACGTCATTTCGTTTATCGAAATTCGGTATGTTTGGACTAGCCTGAGATCAGGCAGTCTCTTGTTCACACTTACACGGAGGAGTCAGCTGAGGTTTGGTTAGCTGAGGTTACTTGTCTAAACACAGCCAGAGTGAAGCTGCAGACGGTGGTCTATGTGGATTAACTGCTCCCTCTGGTAAGAGCTGTAGGGCTGCAGAGTCCAGAACATTTAAGGCATAGCTAGCCTGTGTCTTTGGCAGGTTTTGTACCTAAGTTACGATAAGCAAAGGTGAGTTGCTAAGTACGGACATTCAGATTGTTACCTATATGGAACACAAGGCTTAGAGCAAGGTGGGAGCAGTAAGACAAATGAGGAAATTCAGATCCCCAGTTGCCCACAGGACCCCTCCATGGAGATGTTTCATAAACAGCTGAGACTCAGTGTGTCCCCTGATGATGGTATCATCACCCCTTCTTCCTCCTCTCTCCATCCCAGAAAACCTGCCCCTCCTGTGTTTATCTCGGGATGGCACATACCCAGCTGTCCGAATCAGAAATCTGGGAGCCATCACTGCCTGTGCCCTCTTCCTCATGCCTCATTCGTTTGGCCACCAAGTCCCACCGATTTTACTTCCTTGAGACCTCTTGACTCTGCCTCCGCCTCTCCCTTGGTTCTGGCACCCCCAGCACGCGAGCAGACCATCTAATGCATTAAAAATGACCACCATCCTTTCCCTACTTAAATTCCTTCCGTGGTTGTCCTGCTCGCCATGTAAAATATATGAAATACAAAGCCTTCCACACTGTAGCCTCTGCTGCTCTCTGGCCTCATCTCCCACTACTCCCCCCCTCCCACTTCAGACCTTACAGGGGCATTTCCAGTGCCTAGTCCAGTGCCAGGCACACAGAAGGGATGAAAGATGAATAAAGATTTCAGCTTTGTGTAGCTCACCGTGTCCAAAATGGGCTTCCCCAACCAATGAGGGATATAGGCCAATTCAGAACGTCCACTAATTTTGAGAACTAAATGCCCAACCGTGACTCCTAAAGGAAAGGAAAAATATAGCATTGATAAAACAAAGGTTGTTAAAAAAAAATAATAACTTAATTTCGAAGTAGCTAAGGGTTCTATTTTCCTTTAAAACTGGGCTTCAAAAGTGTAAACTGTGTCCCTAGTCATTTAGTGTTTGCTTACATTAGGCTGTCTTGATAAAGGCATATTTTAAGACACAATGTGGAAATTCACAGTCATGAATCTGGGGAGGGAGGCAGACGGAAAAGATGCTGCTAGAATTGTAATGGTCTGGCGCCTGGCCGGTCCTTGGACCTGAAGTGTTCTACTCCCACCTGGTGGTACAATTGGAAAATGGTTGCATGAAGTTTGTAAAGCTCTCAAAACTGAGCGCCCAGTGCGGTAGTCTACAAAATGACAGTTGGAAGTGGCCTCCAATTGTGACAGGTTGCAACTCTCCCTGCAGCATTTTTACTCTGTGTCATTGCCTTACAGTCAGACCTTCGAAGCCCTTTTGTAGCATCCAAGGAGTACCAGAAACTGGCCATCCAATATCTCTTTCTTGCCTCTCTCTGCTCGGGACACCGTCCCCTGTATATTACTGGTATAAACTCGAAGGTGGAGACATCATCCCAGTGAAAGAAAACTTCAGTAAGTTCAGCCCTCCGTGGCCCCTGGCAAGGCCTGGTGTGTGTGGTTGGCTGATGGCATGTGTGTGTGGCTTGTTGCTCAGTCTTTAGAACTCAGTCTTCTGGAAAGGAGAAGGAAAAAGCAGATCTCCTAGCAAGATGACTGTGGTCTGGTCTTATTCCCCAAACCCTAGTGGTCAAGCCTGTGTTTGGCTCACTCAGAGGTGGTGGGTATGGAGGGAAGAGGCATGGTCCCAGGTGGGCTACCTTTGTAAGAGTCCCGAGGGGTCTAGCGGGACCCTGGACAGCTCAAGGAAGGGGCGGAGGCAATGTGAGGAAGTGGGTGGGCAAGGAGTGATTTGTCTACCATGACATGATCTGTACCCTCCGTAAGAGATTTCAAAAGTCTATTTCCTGTTTTTGACAGACCCAGCCACTGGGACTTTGGTTATTGGAAATCTGACCAGTTTTGAACAAGGTTATTACCAGTGCACGGCTAGCAACAACCTTGGCAACAGTTCCTGTGAAATTGATCTAACTTCTTCCCGTGAGTTGATCATCCAACTTTAATGCACTTTCTCCTTAAGTCAAGTATCCTGGGCCTGCCAACTAAGTGAATTAATTAGAATCCCTGCTTAGTCCTTCCTGCCTCTCAGGTGATTTTGGTGGTTTATTTATAGGTTGACAGGCTGAATTATTACTATCCTAATATCTAAAGTTTGCATGATACTTAATATGTGCCGTACACTGCCCTAAAGCATTTACAAAAAGTTTGTTTTACCCTCACAAAATTTCTAAAAAGTAGGTATTACTAACGAATAAATAAAACAGCAGCCCCACTGATAGTACCAGGCTGGATTTTCTTTGTGATGCTGTTGGAGAATCCAGGGGAAACCAGCAATCTGTGTTGGACATGGAGCTCACAAACTTTCTGGCTCTTCAGTAATTCACTAAGATCTGCCTCTAATAATAGTAGTAAAAATAACACCTGTACATGCAGTCCCAGTAGCTGATATTTGTGGAGCACAAATTATGTGCCAGGCACATAATGGCTAGGTGTTGTGAGCCTTATCTCACTCAATCCTCTAACCACCTTATGGAGGCACAATATATTGTTAGCCTCATTTTACTGAAAAGGAAATTGAAACTCAAGGAGGTAAGTGACTTGCCCAAGGTCATCTAGTTAGTGAATGGCAGAGCGAGGATGCCTTTATTTTTTTTTCTAAAGATTTTATTTGTCAGCGAGAGGGAGGGAAGAAAGCACAAGCAGGGGAAGCAGCAGGCAGAGGGAGAAACAGGCTCACTGCTGAGCAGGGAGCCTGAGTGGGGCTCAATCCCAGGCCCCTGGGATCATGACCCGAGCCAAAGGTAGTTGCTTAACTGACGGGACCACCCAGGCATCCAGCCAGAATGCTTTAAATCACGACCTTCCAGTTCAAAGGTGCTCAGTTTACTAAGCATAGACTTGAGGGCCTGGAGTTGTCAAATTGGGCCAGTCAGGGGCAAGCTCTTACAAGGGATACCTTGCCACATCTTTTTTTTTTTTTTTAAAGATTTTAGTTATTGGAGAGAGCGAGCATGAGTGGGGGAGGGGAGGGGGCATAGGGAGGTAGAGAAGCAGGCTCCCTGTTCAGCAGGAGGGGAGGCTCCATCCCGGAATCCCGGGATCACGACCTGAGCTGAAGGCAGACACACTCAACCAACTGAGCCACTCAGGTGCCCCCTTGCCACACCTTTGAATGATCACTTAATAACACTTAGGATCATGTCATCTATTCATTATTCCTAACTCACGTTGAATCTGTGACTAATACATACCGTATCCACGTGGCCAGTTCCCTTGGACCATGGCTCTCCTATGAAGCTAAGCTTTCTTCCTTTCACTTGTCTGGAATCAAACATTTTCCAATTCCAGGTTGCTTCTTCATTCACCTAATTTCTATTCAAAGGTGAAGATAGGTCTTTCGGGTCTTCATCTGCAGTCTCATTCTCCCCCTAGTCCCTGGATCATTTCTGTTATAGATCTCCATTATCTTCCCCAGTCCCATTTTGCCTTTCCAGAAGTAGTCGTAATGCACCTGTAGACACTCAGGAGTTGTACTTGAGCCTTGAGTTGTACTTGAGCCTTGTTTCTGCTCAAATACTCTTTTTAAATGATGTTGGCATTTGCCTGTCTACCTGCCTTCCTCCCTCCCTTCCCGCCTGCCTCCTCCTCTCCCTCCTTCAAACCTTAATTGGATATCTACTAAATGCCAGGAACTATCATAGGTGGTACAGATACAGAGATTAATAAGATCTATGTCTTACACTCAAGGAACGCACAGTTTAGCTAGAGGGACGAACAGTAAAATGTGTTAAATGCTAGACTAGCAATCTGTACAGGGCCTCTAGGACCCTAAAGAAGAAACAATTAATTATTCTTATAAAGCCAGAGCCAGCTGTATTGACAAAGTGCTATTTGAGCTGGCTCTTGAAAGAACTTGGAAAACCCGTTTATCTATAAAATAGGGATGAAGGTGAAAGGCAGCTGATGGATGATGGCACTACGGCAGCAGGTTTAGGAGGGCAACCAGTCCCTGCTGGGGGAGGAGGATGGAGGGTTCCAGGAGAGATGTCTCCAAGGGAAAAAAATCTTAAGAAACCAAAAGATTATCGGATGTGTTTAAATCTACTAAAATGAGTTGTAACAGTTTTAGTGGAAATTTTGGGGATTAGTAGTAATACATTAAAAAAAATCCCCAAATGAGACAATTATTAACCTCAAAGAAACAATTTAAATGTACAGGAATCATACATAATGAGGGGGGCGCCTAGGTGGCTCAGTCAGTTAAGAGTCTGACTCTTGATCTCAGTTCAGGTCTCGATCTCAGGGACGTGAGTTCAAGCCCCAAGCTGGGCTCCACGTGGAGACTATTTAAACATTTTTCTTTCTTTTTTTTAAAGATTTTGTTTATTTATTTGAAGGAGAGAGAGACAGCCAGAGAGGGAACACAGACGGGGAGGTGGGAGAGGGAGAAGTAGGCTTCCTGGCAAGCAGGATCGATGCAGGGCTCGATCTCAAGACCCTGGATCATGACCTGAGCTGAAGGCAGACACTTAACGACTGAGCCACCCAGGCACCCCTAAAAAATTTCTTAAAAACCAAGAATCATAGGATGTATTATGTTCTGCAGCTGTGAAACAATATTTACATAGTCATAATCCTGTAAACTTTGATGTCACTACAATTTGTGCTCTGGCTATATCTGGAGAATGTTTGAGTGGAGTGGAGTGAGAAGACAATCTCCACTGTTCCAGGGTAGGAAGTCATAAAAAAAAAAAAAAAGACAAAAATCGGAAGGTTAAAACAAGCACAATAGAAACATGGGGGCAAATATCGGATGATGAAAGAAAAAGAATTAAGAGTGGTTGCCTCTAGTGAATGGGACACAGAGATGGGGAGGAGCAGGGATGGGGACTTGCTTCCTTGCCTGAAGTCTAGTAGAACCGCATGACTTTCCAAATCGTGCACAACAGATTCCTTTAATCATCAAAAGTTGAAAGAATGACCAGGCAACTCAACTAGCCTCTCATCTCAAAATACAAGACGTCCAGCCTTGTTTGAAGGGAGGTGGATGGGGATGGGCCCACTGGAACTCAGGCAAGGTCTCCCAGGGACATTGGAAGGTCTGGTGCTCACATCTGGATGGTCTCACTTTCGTTGAGTTTTTTCCATAGACTGACCGGATAGACCAGATGCCTGTATATGAAAATGGGCATGAGGTTCCTTGGTGAGCACAGCATCCGTGGGAGAGGTTTTTTAGGGACCTACTTACCCTATGTTCCGGATAAACCTGGTGAAGTGTCCCTGCCTGTAACAGGGGTCCTTTCTCCAGTTACCAGAATGTAGCTCCGTGCTGTGTCTTCCACAGATCAAGCAGATGGCCATTGAAGACTCACTTCCCTCAGCCCTATTTTGAAAGTGAGCTCTGTGCCCCCTCCCCCAGGTTGGCACATGTGTCTATGTGTATCCATGTGAATGGGTGAGCTCCACAGTGGAGCCAGGGTGAGCAGAGTTCTGGGGGTTTCCAGCCTCTACGAGTCATGCTCCCCACCACATGAAGGCTCTGGATAGTCCACATGGGCCACAAATGCGCATGTGGGAGGCAGACAGCGTGTTCCACTTTACCAACCAGGTGCTTGTTTCTTCCAGATCCGGAAGTTGGAATCATCGTTGGGGCGCTGGTGGGTACCCTGTTGGGTGCTGCCATCATCACCTCTGTTGTGTGCTTCGCAAGGAGCAAGGCCAAGGCCAAGGCAAAGGGGAAGGAAAGGAAGAGAAATTCAAAAACCAGCACAGAACTTGAGTAAGATCTTACTTTGTTGCCTTTACTTGAACGTTGACATTTGTCGGGCGTCGCACTATCAGCTAGCACTTCCTCGGCGCCCCCTTTAGACCGACATACCGGGGTGCTTTTCTGCTCCCCCTCACTGCTTCTATAGAAGAAGGGTGGCAGCAGCTACCAGTTCCTGACAACTGTGTGCCAGACTCTGCTCTAAGCTCTCTATCAACTCATTTAACCACCTCTGGGATCCTAGTTTTTCTCTCTTGGACTCTCATTCTCTTGTTGAGACCTAACCTCTCTGGCTGGGAGAGAAGACAAGCGTGCAGTGTGACAGTGAGTCAGAATCTCAGACATCACAGAGGCCCTGAGCAGACTGGAACCTGTGGTCACTGAAGCTAGAGCCTAGGGCTCCACGTGAAATGATGAACCCTAACTCGTTCTTCCCTGGGCCTTCTTCCTGCAGACCAATGACAAAGATAAACCAAAGTGCAGAGCTCGAGGCAATGGCAGGGGAACATGCTCTCCAACTCGAAGCGACTCTGCCACCTTCTGGCCACGAGAATGACCCCGCTACCACCCTGGGTCCAGATCATGAGCCGACCCCGGAGCCGGAGCCTGAGTCTGTCCGGGAGCCAGCCCCACAGCCTGGCCCAGAGCAAGAGCCTGGCCCAGAGCCAGAGCCTGTCTCAGAGTCGGAGCCTTTCCTGGAGCCGGAGCCTGTCCCGGTGCCTGAGCTGGATACAGAGCTGGAGCCTGAGCCAGAGACAGAGCCAGAGCTGGAGCCGGAGCCAGAGTCTGATCCCGAGCCCGGGATTGTAACGGAGCCCTTGTGCGACAGGGAAAAGGGAGTGAATAAGCCATAGGCTGGTAGCCAAGTACAGTGTTCATCAGTAGGGAACCCATTACTGGCATTTGGAGTTGCCCTAACCAGTCTCCCACCACATCCCTCTCTTCTGACCTGCCCTCTTCTAACAAGGTACTCTTGCCTTTGATCCAGAATAAATAGGTCAAGATAAATGCAAGGGTTCCTCTGTTACTTACACTCTAACATGTAAGCGTAACTAATGACAAAGCAAGTGACTTTCTAATTTGGTTGAAGGCATTTTGCAGCAATATCTACCTTGTACTTTGGAAAATCTCATTTCTCTATTTTCAGCTACTCTGTTACATTCCGCATGCACACATGACAAGGTGGCATTAACTGGATTCAATGCTATTCCTAGGATCAGTTGGTAAGGGCTTCCCTAATTCATTTTCACAATGGCCACAAAGACAAGAATTTGCCAGCATTCTTTGAGAGAGATGGAGGGGGGAGAAATACTCAAAAATTCCAGAGGAGGATATGTAAAGGGTACCTATTCAAACGAGGTCTTAAAAATCAGTGCTTCATTTATCATATTAGATTTCCCAAGGAACCACCCTGCTATACAAGATCTTGAGCACAGCAAAATTTTTAAATAACCTAATTTTTAAATGCAAGATGATGTACAGGCAAACAATTCCAAATAACGTGTTCCTTCGGTGATCACAAAATGTTAGGATCATGGGTGATGTACAAATTAGCTTCTAATGAGATGTTATCACTCTGTCTGATCCTATCTACTTTAGAAGGGCCAGAATAGGAAACTGTTCTAAATGAACACTTAAGATCTGTTTTAGGAAATCTGAACTAATTAATCTGTTTCACTGTTGGGATATTCCACATTAATAGATACCATTTTTGTATAAATGCTAACTATTAACTAACATGCTAAAATGTTTTTTCCATTGATCGTATTTTCCCCACATTCCACTTGAAGAAATTTATGGGTAGACTTTCTCATTTGTGTAATCAGATTTTAAATCTTATTTTGAGGCTCAATAAAATCTTATTTGAATGATCCTAAGGTAAATCGTTTATTAATGTTATCGACATATACTTCATGTACAATAAAGCACACCCATTTCACGTGTATCATTTGATGAGTTTTGACAGATGTATACGCCCATGAAACCACCACCGTTTAAATAGAGCATTTCCACCAATCCAAAGTGTTTTTGATGCCGCTTTGTGCAATCCCACCATCACCCTGGCCCCAGGCAAACACTGATTTGCTTTCCGTCATTAGAGATTAGCTTTGCTTTTGCTTTTCATTATTATTTTTTAATTATGCTCAGTCAGCCATTGCCTTTTCTTGACCTTTGTATAAATGCGATCATACAGTCTGTACTTGTTTTGTGTCTGCTTCTTTCCAAGGTGAATCCTTTTTGAATGAAGTAATGAATCTCTAACTTACCACACCCCGATTTTCATGTAGGGGATTTTCTTAAGTTGCAAAGCCCTTTATATAGAGAATATACTTACACAGGAATTGAGGTAGAACCTTTATCGGTTTGATTGAACTTAACATTTAATTTACACTAATCTGGAGCCATGGAGAGAAGTAACAAGCTTTTACTTAGGTTTTTTCTTTGATGTGTCAATTTTCAACGATTCATAGGGATTTTTTGAAGCATCTATAATTCCATTCACATTAAATATATTATGATACACAGTGTCTGATGGGTCCAGGAAGCAAAATGATGAAGGTTTTGAGAATGATCTAATATTTAAAGATTAAAAACCAAACACCAGCAGTGTAAAAATCTCCATTACCAGAACACCAAAGTAGCTAGAATTCACTTTTCTCTTCTGCCTTTATAATAGCGGCGAATTACAAGAGACCAATATGTAATAGTCAATAGCTGTACCTCCCAAATTTCTGATGGACTGGTGCTGAGCAGGAAGGAAGTCACTCTTGGTGATCTTACACAACTCTGTCCTTATCAACATTGCTCTGGTCAAAATACTGATGAATAGTGGATTTAGTGGTTTTCAGCTTTTTTGAAGGTCATGGATCACCTTGAAAATCTGTTGAAAACTCTGGACCCCTCTCCATAGGAAAACCGCTTATATACACAAAGTGTCTTATACAGTTTTAGGTAAATTACAGACTCCCTGAATCCAAGATTAAGACCTAGTGACTTAGATAAAAACACAGAAGGGACACTTAACAAATGTGTGGATGCCTTCCTCCTGAGGAGAATGATTACTAGGTTGTAGGACTCAAAATGATCTCAATAGCCTGGAAGCTGAGCTAAAATCAAACAGGAATGGAGGGGAAAGCCCAGATTTAAAAATATAGAGTACATGCTGCCCATGTGAAAACCTTAGCTGGGTAAGGCTGGGAAGTAAGTAGGGTTAATCTAAAGTGGTATCTTGGGATCTCTCCTTTCAGTGCCCTTCCTGGCCATCTGGCATCTTAGTTTCCAAACACCCAGGATTCTCATGTACCTACTAGCTCAGTGACCCACTCAGCTCTGCATCCCCCAGGCAGAATTCATTGCTCAGGATTTACCTCTACCCTTGCTACCACTTTATTTACTTTTTTTTTTTTTTTACAGATTTTCTTTATTTATTTGAGGGAATGTACGTGAGTAGGGAGGGAGGGGCAGAGTGAGAGAATCTTCAAGCAGACACCCTGCTGAGCGCAGAGCCCGGATGTGGGGCTCAATCTCAGGACCCTGAGCTCATGACCTGAGCTGAAATCAAGAGTTGGACGCTCAACGGACTGGGCCCTCCAGGAACACTCCCCAACCAACCACTCCACCCTGCACCTGATTTTAAAAGGCAGCTGTTCTGTGACCTGTTTTTGTCTAGTGACCATGATCTTTTATCATCCAGTGATGTCATTTGGATTGAAAGTGAGCTAGCTCTCTTTTAAGTATTTACCTTTGGAAAGGGGATTCTTGAACACAGGGGATTCCTTAATCCAGAGTCTAAATGGTAGAATTTCAAGCACCGGAACAATCCTGAGGGGAGCTATTTCTGGAAAAAGGAGACTTCTCACATCAAACCATGTGGGTTACCATCTACTCTACCTACTTATAAGGCCACTTGGGGTGAGTGCAAGTTTCATCTCAGTCTCCTCAGTCTTCTGTTAGTATATCCATAATACACCCCTATTTGTTCTGTGATAAATCTTGAGACCCTGTAAAATATGAAATTGTAACAAAGTTTTCGCTAAAGTTTACTTGGGCAGGAAAATGGGTTCATGTTAAAGAGCTTTCCAACAATGGAACCAAGCAAAGGTGGATCAGAAAATAAGAAATGGAATTGGTCATTACCACACATTCTGATTAAACTTCAAAATTACTCCAGCATAATTCTCATTCAGAGAGTGTACTACCGGATTTATTTTGCCACAGAGAGTTAAAATTTAAGTGGGTAGTCCCAATCAAATCCCAAAGCAGCTGTAGGTTTCTTAACCATTCACTTCTTGCTACCCAAAAAGATCTCCAGGAACTTCATCTGTTTCTGCACTTAGCAACTAGGATATGCTAAAGTCAACAGAACAGATTTTTGGCTGTAGGTCCTTATTCTCCTCAAATTCATGTTTATTCAGTCATCTGCTGGGTATGAATGGATTGAACAGCTTCTATGAACCAGGTACTGTGGCCGTGATATCATGATAAGAATGAGCTAGCTCTTGTCCCTGAGTTTTACAGCCTCGCTAACTGTGACAATTTCTTGCATTTTGTCAACAACAGCGTGTTGAGAGCAGGCAAGGAAGGCCGACATTTGTACTGCATGGGGGAGGGCCTCCACATTACAGGGTTCTATGAGGAGAAGGGACTAAAACGTAGAGATTCTTGACCAATAGCTAAGAAATCATGTACGCTGGTATCTCCAGTGGGCTTCAGAGCATCAGGTGACCTCTATCCCCAATACACACTGTGGGGTTAATATCTGCAGCTCTTACCCTGGCCTCTGGGTAACTTAGGCTTGATGAGCTTTGAGTAAGTAAAGGTAGAAGAGCTAGGAGGGAGCTTTGGGAGAATAGCCCTCGACCTTTTTCAACTGCAGTACACCCGAGGGTCTTAACACACACAATGGCCTACCCCTGACTGTGATTGGGTGGAGAGGGGAAATAATGAGAGAGTTATCTTCTTAGTTGGGGAGATAGGCAGGGGTAAATGTGGTTTTAAAAAGTTGGGTCCTACTGCATGGAGCACTGAGTGTGGTACACAAACAATGAATTTTAGAACACTGAAAAAACAAAATAAAAAAATCTAAATTTAAATTAAAAAAAAGGTTGGCTCATTCCTATGTATCCCCCACCAATCCCCAGAGAGAAGACTCTGTGAGTGACGAGAGAAAATAATCTGCCCGAGATTATACCACATCCACTAGATCCCAGTGTAATGCTCTTCAACTGCAACAAATTAATTTCAATGAAACAAACCCAAAGTTGTAGTAATAAAAGATTGTTTTGCAATGTCTGTGTGTTGGAAAACAGGTTAGAGGGTCTCATGAAAGGTTCAAACCAATCAGTAGTCCAACATCTCCTCTTTGAAGCTTTGGTTTCAACAAGACAAAACAAAACAAAGACTTAGAGATGTTAAGGAAGGTTTCCGGAAGCTAAAAACAAACCACCCAAGTAAAGACTAGCAGGTGGGGGAGGCCTGAGGTCCGGGTGTGCGGGGGAGGTGCTACAACTACCAGGTTATTATCAAAATGCCACAGTACTTTCCATTTGGTCCAGTTTTTGACTAGAGGCAGGCAGAAAATGGACCAGGACCCAGGAAAGCTAGATTCCTCTGGCTCTGGGTATTTTCTCAACTGTAAAATGGAGATGGTTTTTAGACTTCTTGAAGGCTGCAATGGAGAATGGATTATAAATATTTATAAACTATATAGTGTGGCAGAACTATACTATTGTAGATAATTGGTTCAATACGCTTTTTTTCTCTTGACCAGAGATTCTTACCCTTTTGGGCACAGATCCCTCTGAGAATCTGGTGAAAGCTACAGAAAAAAACCCTTTCCCAGAAAAATGTGCATACAAATTTCTGCAATTTCAGGCAGTCAGAACTGTGACGCTGGGCCCACAGAACCCAAAGTAAAGAGCCCCTCCACCGTATCACACTTGCCCACAGACTGACCTGGAGGCTCGATAGTGTGACACGATAGGGCCCAGACATGATAGTGTGACACAGCCACATCATGACCTAACTATAGTTGATACAG